ACACACACACACACACACACACACACACACACACACACACACACACACGCAGTGTTTTAACCATTTGTGACCATAGAGGTTTTTACAATGGGTGTTTGTGTAAACTGTGTGTAACAGAATAAAAGGCTGCTTTGGGCTGATGGTTCTTCAAATTGGTCTGACACTGAGAGCAGAAGGGCTGCTCTGAGATCCTTTTCTTGCACTAGTAAAATCGATCGATTGCTGTTCGTTTTGCTTCGTTGACAGGAATACGTTTCTAAACCAGCGGGGCCTGTGGAAGCACAGACCCAACAAATACATTTATGAATAATTAACCTTTAGTGAACTGAATGTATGAAGGGATTATATAAAATAAAGAAATGACCTGTTCTGTGATTATCTTTATGACTCCGTACATTCTAATCACATTTTGGTCATTTACGGTATCTTTACAATTTAGGGTTGCCCCGGCCCCTAGTTTGGCCAACCCTCTCTTGAAACAGACATTTTTTAATGTCCGTGACTCTTTTTACCCACAAACAGATACAGATATACAAGGGTTATGTTGCGAATAACTGACTGCAGCTTCTACCTAGATAACAAAATAACTCTGGACCGGACTCACCCTGTGGTGTGGTGCTGATTAACTTGAGAATATTCTTTCTGGCTCAAAATGACTTTATATGATTCATTAGATTTATGGCAGATTTTTTGACAGATTATAGGCCAACAAGTCATTCATAACAGTTTTAATTCCCAGAATTCACTTTTTGCCACAACACCAGTTTGCCTGTGTCTTGGCAAGGTAGGGATCAGCGACAGAATTTGTTTCCCCTGCATCGGGAGCATGTCTGGTTGACTCTGTCTGCAACCAACTTGAAAATTGAAAGATGACTGTCATTACATTACCGTTCAGTTTGAGTTACAATCAGAAAATTATACATTTATTGTTCTGACTTATCGGACAGTATTTTAATTCTTAACAAATCAACGAAATTTTGCCCGATAATTATTTTTATCCTCCTGTAACTTCACTTCACAGAGCTAAAATGCCAAAGTTTCAGGAGTAATAAGTCATTATAAGTGTTTCTGAACTAAAAATTAAGAATGAGTGATACTGGTTGTCAGTGATTTTGAAAGCCCAGTGCTTGTCAGGGCTACCAACCTTGGCACGACACCGGCAAAAAACAAAAGCGCGCCGCTACCCCTGCTGAACTGTACATTACACACTTCAGAAGAACACAGTGTGGTGTGAGGAAAATCAAAGCGATCGAGGAAACTTGTAATCTAGGTTAATACTACAGTGTGACCACTAGATGGAGACGGTGTCTGTTCTCATGGATAACGTTTTGAAGACCTGTTGCAAATTTGTTTCCAGTCCTATTCAAACTGTGATGATTTACAACAACTAAGATACTAAATTAGAAATTAGGATTATGTTTGCTATTGGTATTCAGTAATACACACAAAAAAACCCCACCGGAAATCTGAAGGGGAAGTTCATTTTACTGTCGCCTGGCTCTCATAAATGACATGAAGCAGTTTTTTGTGGTCAGTCATGGCAGGCACACAGCAGAACGGTCTTCACTTTCTGATGCTTGGTAAGCAATAATTTCTATAATGTATAATACTTTTCTTTATGTTGTACGGAGATAGCATGAGACAGTCTTTAAGTCTCAGTGTTCAATGCAAACATTCATCATTACATTTGTTTTAGTATCTTTTTTTTACCAGCCTGTGTAATCTCATGTTTTCTTCTTCAGTAGTGTCTTGTATCTTTGCCTTCCTCGCACCTGCTGCAGGTTAGTGTCTTCTTATGTGTTATACATACATACTTAAACATATAATTTTTATATTTTTAAAGGACAATATTATATATAGTTTATATTATGTGCTGATAGGTCAGATCAGACTAGCTGGGTCTGGGTCCACTCGGTGCTCTGGAAGGGTTGAAGTCTATCACAGTGGCTCCTGGGGAACAGTCTGTGATGATGACTGGGACTTAAATGATGCAAAAGTGGTCTGTAGAAGACTTGGCTGTGGGACACCAGTGGAGGCCACTGCATCTGCTCACTTTGGTGCAGGAAGTGGAGAAATCTGGCTTGATAATGTGGCCTGTTCAGGAAGTGAGAGTTCTCTAACTGCGTGTGAACACAGAGGATTTGGGACACACAACTGTGGACATGGCGAGGACGCTGGTGTTGTCTGTTCAGGTGAGATATTGTTCTAATAAATTGTGTTGAATAAATGTATCTTTCTCTGTTTGGATGAACAACTCTGTGACCCAGTCACTATAACTGAGCCAAACTGAAGGACAAGAAGGAAAGTTGGGCTGGGTTATGCTGATTGGGTTTCTTTTGGTTTCTTCAGAATTTAAATGATACAAAGTATGTTATCTTTCATAATTATTATTGTTGGTAAATGTGTTTGATTTTTGCCATGGCCAAATAACAAAAAAGAAACACTAACACTCTTTAAGCAAATGTGCCTGTGACTAGGTGCTCATATCAGATTATCTGGGTCTGGGTCCACTCGGTGCTCTGGAAGAGTAGAAATCTACCACAGCAGTGCGTGGGGAACAGTCTGTGATGATGACTGGGACTTAAGTGATGCTAAGGTGGTCTGTGGACAGCTGGGGTGCGGAACAGCAGTGGAGGCCACTTCATCTGCTCGCTTTGGTCAAGGCACTGGAGAAATCTGGCTTGATAATGTGGCCTGTTCAGGAAGTGAGAGTTCTCTAACCGAGTGTGGACACAATGGATTTGGGAAACACAATTGTAACCATGGTGAAGATGCTGGTGTCGTCTGTTCAGGTGAGAAAAGGTATCACAGGGCATTGTGTTTTTATATAAGATACATTTAGTCTGGCTTCAGTTTCAAGGAAAATTAAAATATAATGATGTCTTGTGCCTGATAGGTTTGATCAGAATATCTGGGTCTGGGTCCACTCGGTGCTCTGGAAGAGTAGAAATTTACCACAGTAGTGCATGGGGAACAGTCTGTGATGATGACTGGGACTTAAAGGATGCTGAAGTGATCTGCAGATACTTAGACTGTGGAACAGCCCTGAGTGCTACATCTGCTGTTTTTGGTCAAGGAAGTGGACAGATCTGGCTTGATGATGTGGCCTGTTCAGGGAGTGAAAGTTCTCTAACTGAGTGTCGACACAGAGGATTCGGGACACACAACTGTAACCATGGTGAAGATGCTGGTGTCGTCTGTTCAGGTGAGCAGAAACACTTATGAAATCATAGTATTTGGTTTCCATGTTATTACTGATTAAACAGTCGCAGTGTCGATTAAAAAATTAACTCAACAATATCAATCAATAGCATTAAAGCAACTAAGTTCACATAGCAACAGCTTTTACACAAGTCTTCTTCACAGCTCCACCATAATTTGGTGGAGCTGGAGCAGTCAAGTGGTCAGCACCAGCAGATCTCATCAGGTCATCCATCACCATGTTAGTTAACTTAAAGTCTGGCTCTGATTTGTGCACACTTGGTTTCAATTCCTTCTATAGATTTGGGTTGCTGTTCACTTGTGCAGATCTTCCCCTCGACAAACTCCATTAATTCATTCCATTATTACACATGAACTGACATGCAGTTGTTCTTTACTTGTGCTTTATTTTTAGTCTTTTAGCTTTCCTCTAGCCAGTATAATGTTGACATCCCTTTATTTAAAGACAGTTATTGTAGCAGACGAATGTCTAACATCTATCAGATTACTTGTCCAGCTTTATGCTAACTCACGATGGTATGGCTGAGATCTCTTTTTGAGGTAAGATTTGCATCAGCAGATGCTTCTTGTAGTTGATAAACTCAAAATTAATTTTATTTGATCTATCAGCATAGTACAGCCTCATTCCTTCAGTTTTTATTCATGAATTAGCTAAGGCTTGAATCAAAAACTCAAAAAACTTGAATCAAGTTTCATTCCATGCATTCAGACTTTTATTTTAATATATATAATATTTTCCTAAACACCATTCTATATAGCAACATTGACCAATATTGCCCAAGTTCATCAGTGCTGCAAATTTTTGGTGATAAGAGAGACCGAATCAGACATTTTTTAAGGAAAAATGGTACGTGTTTATTCTCTTTTAGTGTCCTTGCTGCTGCTGTTTTCCTCAGTTACACTGGAATCCACCTGCTGCTCCAGTAGAAAAAAAAACACCATCTCTAAATCATTTCAAAGACTGTGGAATCATTAGTGACATTATTGACTTTTTGCATTTAACTGTTTTTTATATATACATATAACATAACAAAACATAAGGTCCAAAGTAAAATAGTTAAGTACAATTACATATAGGTTTTGATGAAGAACAAATAGCTTTTATGTATTTGATTGCTGGTGCAAATTCTGTCATTGATGGTGGTGATTGTCTTACTTCATTCACTGAAGTTTGTGAAGTTTAAAAACAAGATGTCAACTGTAAATCCAGTTGACCTAAATCTAGACCTAATTTCTGCAGGGACACTCAAAAGAATAACTGTTATTTAATCCTGCAGTGATTTGTTAATTTGGCTCAGTTCCAGCAATTGACACCTTCCCTGCATACTTTAAAAACTAGATGTGGGGAAAGCAGCAATATCAGCCCATTGTAGAAAAAAACAGAACAGCCTACATTGCCAACAGACATGGTACTGATTTAGCTTCCCTTAAGAAAGGAAAATGGATTTGATAGTGGGTTCCAAAGTGGCAGTGAGAATGTCACTAAAGAGAATTGCCAGTGGGATATGTAAACTGGTATCAGTTGAGCCATGAGGTAAGGTTGACTGGTGGTTAGCTTATGACTTTGTGATCTGTTAAAACTCACACTATTCTTTTTGTTTTGATTTTTCAGTGAGTCTCCCAAAACCCAGCATCTCTGTAAATGAAGGTCAGGTTAGCTGGGGTCAGAACATCAGCATCACTTGTTCCGTCTCATCTGAGTTCTTAGATGGAACTTTCACCCTCAAGAAAACCTCAAGTAATTTCAGTCAGACTGAAACAGGATCCAGATCTGCTACCTTCAATATCCACAGAGTGGACTTCAGTGATGATGGACTGTACCAGTGTCAGTATGAGAAACGCATTTCAAGTAACACATTCAGCTCCCCCCTCAGTGACTCTGTCAGAATCTCTGTTACTGGTAAGAAGAAATACACTTTCCTGAACATCATGTTTCATTTGTTTTCTATAAGTAAGGTGATCAGTGAGCTACAACAAATGTATTATTGTGCTGGTGTTGTGTGTCTCTTTTCAGTAAGCAAACCCAATATCTCCTTCAGTCCTGCTGGTGTGGTGACCTGGGGTCAGAACATTGGAATCTCTTGTTCAATCTCAACTCAAACTTTAGGTGGAACGTTCATTCTGATGAAAACATCAGATTCATTCAACAGGACCCAAAACACAAACACAAACTCTGCTACCTTCAATATTCCTGAAGTAGACTTTGATGATGAGGGATTGTACCAGTGTCAGTATCAGGAAAGCGGCCCAAGTCATGAATTTTACTCCCCAACAAGTGACTCTGTTAGGCTCTCTGTTACAGGTAAGAAAACAAATGCAAGTATGATAGTCAATAATTAATAGCAACGTATATAAGAGGATACTGCAGTAGTTCTTTCTAGTATTTATAATAGCAGCTGCTGTTTTATAAAGTTTCTGACTGCCTGACAAAATACTCTCAAAGCCCACAGTACTGAGGACTAAACACAGACTACTGGAAACAAACTATTACACACTGTGGAGCATTTAGCAGCTAAAAAGAGCTAAATGTTAAGTTGGGGCCTAAAAGAGTCAATGGTGGAATTTCATTCACCAGGTCACAAAAAACATAAACAGTAACACTTAAAAATAATGTCACACAAGCATTAGTAAGGTATTAGTAAGTGCTTAACTCATCATTTATAAAGCACTACTCCTCATTAGTATGTAATTTATAAATACAGATTAAAATTTTTATTCATGATTAATAAGCTCATATATGATCTGTTCATGGCATCATTCATAAATTCTAAGTAAATTATTTTGATAGACAAACACACACACACATGCATATGATTAAAATTGTTAATGTGTGTATTAATTCAGGTTATTATTTATTTTATTTTATTTTTGTAAATTCAGGTAGTTACTAGTTGTTAGTTTTGTGTGTATTTTAAGTATTTTGTGTGGCCTTCTCTAAAGTGAGGATAGTGGTGCAGTGGTTAGCACTATTGCCTCACAGCAGGAAGTTCCTGAGTTTGACCCCAACATCTAGCACACCTTTCTTTGTGGAGTTTGCATGTTCTCCCAGTGTTTATTTGTGGTTTCTCCCGGTTCTCTCCTACAGTCCAAAGATATGCAATGAATGGAGTTAGGTTAAGTGGCGGTGAGTGTGAATGGTTATCTTTCTCTCTTATACTTGACAGGGATAAGAGGAAGGGAATAGATGGATAGATATTATCAGCAGCGAGGGTCCATTGTAAGGCAGGCCCTGTAGCTGTGCATGACGTAACACTGATACATGAACGAAGGAATCTGGCATCAAAGACAAACAAAGGGAGAAAAAAACTACATTACCTAAAAAATTAAAACAACCATAACAACAGCAAATCTAACATAAAATCAAGTTCACCCCGCAGCAGGAAAATAGAGACTATGATGCTGATATATCAACAATTAACATTGCTAAAAGGCCAGTTAGCCACACTACCTCAGCTTAGCTAAACCGACCAAGAAATAGTCCCAAGACAGTTACTCCTGATTAGTGTTGGTCAAGTTACTTGAAAAAAGTAATCAGTAACTAATTACTGATTACTCCCCCCAAAGAGTAATCCCG